GTGCCCGCACAGGGGAGCTCGGAAACGTGACCCGCCAGCGGTGCCCGATTCCTGGGCAATTCCCCTTAATGCGCAGCGCTTCCCGGTGCCGGCACGGTCGGGGCGCCCGCGGGGAGCCCGGGCCTGGCGTGTCCTGGCCGGGTGATAAACGGCCTTTTCCGTCACTTTTTGAAACAGGTTAAAAATGCCCCTCTGCGGTCTCACTCCTGCAGGAAGAAATAGGTCTGTCATTTCCTCAGGGAAATTAATAGCGTTAGGTGTCAAGGTAAGGTTATTTTAGGAATGTTTAGTAGGTTTTCATCACTTTTCTAGTTTAATAAGGCTCTGTCTGAAGCTAAGCGCGGCAGGAGCTGTAACTCATTTTCTACTGAGGTTTTATACAATGGCAAAAACATGGATGGTGTTGCTTTCATCGCAACACGAATTCAAGCATCCTCTTTAGGGGATGGATAACTAGAACTACTTTTCCAAAGAGTTACAATGAAAGGATGAATTTTTATTTTTTTTTTCCCCTACAGAAATTGTAAATATTCTGTGGAGTTACTTCTCAACTGCCGGAAACAATTCTCAATTTATTTTTTGTGCTGCTATGGTGCGGTTCCTTTATGAGCAGTGCAGAATAACAGGATAAGTCTCCCTCCCTGTCCCAGCAGATTTTGCTTTCGCATAAGTATTTATGTGGCCTAATAAATTCATGGCATTACGTGCCCATCTCTTGCAGTTGATAGGGCTCAAAATTGAAAGATAATTTAGGAGAATTTCATTTTCAAAAGGCAGTGTTTTAGTGCAATTTTCCAATAAACATTCCAAGAAATTGTAGAGAAACAGATCATTTGTTATTCATGCATGCAACTAAAAACATTTTCTACATTTCCAGAGCCTGACACTCACTACAGAGGAGAGAATTACGAAGTCCTGTGCTGTCTTCCTTGTAGGCAAAGAGAAACAGTGATACAGAAGTCTTTCATTGCCACGCATACCGTTAGCAAAAGTCTCTTCATCAACCAGAAATATGCACAGGATGCTTGGGGGGTTGGACAGGCTTGTAATTAAGTAAGTCAAGTCTCTGCAAATCCAGAAACCCAAGTAGTGAGAAACAGCAGCCAGTCCCAGATTTTTCATGTCTCTTGAGAAGACTGAATTTTATACAATAGAAAGACAAGAAGAATTAAGCAGTCCATCTTGGGCAGTACCAATGTCTTGCATAACTTCTGCTTTTGGGAATTGCTTCAACACTGCCGCAACCCAAGAGTGGCTTTCTGCAAACGTTATACAAGCCAGACAAGGTCTATAGGAAGAGGTAATAACCTTTTATTAGACCAATTAGGATGGCTGGCAAAATGAGACAGGATTTCAAGTACATAAAATATCCTCCTTCAGTGGAAATAGAATTCTGTTCTTCAAACGAAAAATTAAAGGTCAAATACAGGTTGGAGTCAATTGCTCGGAGTTGCATTAGATACGTATCGCATCATTTTTGAAGTAGAGGTCATTGTTCCCTGCAGACTGGAAGGGACGTTAACAGGAGGCAACGAGGAGATGGTAAGCTAGTTATATCTTTGGGGAAAAAGCAAAATAGGCAATTTATAGCCTGTGAGGCATGGAAGGACTAGTAAAGAGGAAAGGGAAGGGAAAATCTGTGCAGGAGCACGAAGATTGAGTCTGTGGGTTTTGATACCCAGCGCAGGTACCCACAGACCGTGCCATGCCCACAGACCAGGCCATCAGAGCCGGACCTGTTACTGCTTTATGCGTGTGCCCACCTGAACAGAAACCAGCAGCCAGTGAACAAAGTTAGGTACATCTCGAGACAGCAGAGCACATCTCGCAAAGAGGACTGTTTCAAGGGCTGAAGATTCGCTCAAGCAACCTGTTGCTACAAGCAGGATGTTTCACAGTCTTTGCTTTAGGGAGTTTCTGCGTGGTCCTGCGGGGTCTGTGGTGTCTTGGCCTGCATGTTAGGAGTCTGCATCAAGGCAGCGCAAGCATATTTGCTAAATATCTTCATCTTCACAGTTTTAGGAACATTGGTATAAGTACACATCTACATTTAGACTTCCCTCAATTTTTTCTCTCTTGCTCTTCGGCCTTTCTGAACTATGCGTTTCCCCACTGTAAGGGAATTCTCAACTGTAGAAGAAAACCACAGCTACAGTGGTGCCCCATCCACATTTACACTTCTGTTCATTGTGAAGGATGCGATGGGGCTGGAGGTGTGGGGCAGAGCTCACGGCTACAAGTAGTGCCAGCCCCAGGCTGTACCTGGTAGCGTTTGGGCAGAGCAGCCCCCCTGCAGCCCCAGCCTGCGCGGCCCGGGTAGGAGAACCGCAGCAGCACCACGGAGATCAGGGCGGTTTCTCTGTTGCCACCTCATCCATTGGCGTGCCAAGCGACTCTCCGGACAGAACAGGAGAAGACGCTGCTGCTGATGTGCTTAGCCAACGTGAACGCAATGACGCCTGCAATAGAGTATACAAGGAGCGTGCTTTGTGGTATTATTTATTTAGGAACTGTGAGTAACTACAGCCGTAGCGTTCTCATCTTTGCAATTCTGATGGTTTAACAAACTGGGAGAACATTAGCATATTTTTATTAAGGTACAAAATACACCCTGTTGTTGCCTAAAACATTTTTTTTAAAAAAGTGAGAAAAGCTCTGTATGCTCTAAATCAGATTCAAAACCTTTCTGTATAAGGAATTGTGGCAATACTGTGTTTAGTATAACAAGAGTTTTTTATCAATTGAAAAGGAAAAGACATGCTGGCAGTCTGAACTTAGCAACAAAGAGTAAAGCAGTTAAAAACCATTGTGTCATCCACATTAGTTGAGCTTTGAATGTAGAAGAGCAAATCATATGAAACACATACACAACTAGGTAATATCAAACAACCTAAGGGTGATATTGTACACACCTGTATTAAAGTACACTGACTACTTAATGGTGAGGATTTAAGGTAATGGTTTTTTTAAAAGAGGTAACCTTTGAAATGCAAATGGTTGCACTTTACACACAAAAAGTGGAAAAGAAAAAGAATCACTTTTGGAATGATACATAGGTATAAGACACATTGGTTCTGGATTATGCGTATCACCTTGCAGCCTCTGATATTACCTCTGAACAACCACAAAAAAAAAAATTAAAAAGTGCCAATACTGTGAAAGGAAAGCAAAGTTACTAAGTCTGAGTGCATTAACCATTTCTGACAAAAAAACTGGGGTTTGGGTTTTTTTGTTTTGTTTTGGTTTTCTGCATTTTTAAAAAATGCAAAAGCCTTACTGGTGCAGGTTCAAGACAAAAACAAGACAGTCAAGCTCATAAGGTAGAAATAGGTCCTATATAGGTTAAGATTCTTTGGAAACTGCTAAGTATAAAGGAGTTTGTAATCCAGGCTACTATCTTTTTGGCTACTCCAAAAATCTGTGGGAGCTTCCAGCTTATCATCAGTTGAAATCTGTTTTGCTATCGCCAAATAAAAGTGGGTGAAACTTTAACTAACCTGGGATTCCGTTCACACACATGCACATAGAAGTCACTGATTGTGCAATAACCTGTTTTTTCACAGCAGCATATATATGAATCATAAGTCATTCTTAGAGTGACCAGAACAACAGAAAATGTTCTCAGTCTTTGTGTTTGCAGTCTGTTTCGTAAGTAGGCAGCTGTAACTGCACTGAAGTGACAGGTTCTGTAAGGGAAAGGTGACAAGGTGTGATCAGCTGGTTAAAAGCAAGATCAGAAGTATCTTGGGAAAGCACCTGGACGTTTGACTGCAGCCAGTATTACAGCAGCACTAAGAGTGCACGGAGAAAGGGCAGTAGATTTGTTTGAAGTTAGGGCTGTGGAATTCTGTTTAAAACAAATGAAAAATGAGCCGTACCAACATCTAAATTGCAATGCTGGCTGTGTCAGACCTTCCCTTATAGAAGACACTTCTCAGAGAGCAGCCTTTTTCTTAGGACTGGAGAGATTCACTGCGTGTCTGGCAAATGATTCCTTGTAAAGTAGATCTTGGGGAGCCAACTTAGCTGCAGTTTTGGCTGAGGAAAGCGATGGTATAGAGCGCTGAGCTCAGCAAATAGACTGTTTTTCTTTAAGATGTTCAGAATATAACTGTAGACTTGTTTTCCACACATTTGACTTTAAAAATATACTGGACAACTTAGTTGATGACTTGCTTAAAGTAAATCCAATCATGCTAGCAACTTAAAATTGCCTGGTGATTTGAATTAATGCCCATACATAAAGCAAACAGGTATCAACTGATCATGCTGAAAAAACAACCCCCCAAAGACCTACGTATCACACAAGGTGCTTTTGATAACTTGGTTTTCTGAGCCTTATAAGGAGAGTCTTTAAATATATTTTTTTCATTTTTTTTTTTTTCTTTGAGCCTTGTTTCATTCTTCCTCCTCGTCATCTTCATCTTCTCCTTCTTTTCCCATTGTTTCCACAAGGAGTTCTGCGGTGCACGTGGCTTCACCAAGGCTGTTAACAGCTTTGCAGGTGTATTTGGCATCATCGTCCCCACATACTTCAGAAATAGTCAAAGAACAGTTCCCATCTTCATCATAATCTATCTGGAAGTGACGGGACTCCTTGACAGGCTGATCATCTTTGTACCACATTACCTCAGGGTCAGGATAGCCTGCAATAGTGGAGAGAGAACAGCAATTGCGATGAACAAGTATTAACTAATCTGCGAGTAGTTTAAGCTCTAATTCTCTGTGTGTGGACATGCCAATGTATTGATATACAAATACTTCATTGAATTCTATTTAAAATACATGTAGATGATGTGAGGCCTTTTTACTTCACATTTACCTGAGACAACTTTATTATGAAGAGCAAAAAAATCAAAAGTTAGCACTGAGGACTCTACTAGATTCCTCTTTTCACTACTTTAGCAGCAACTGCAGACAGCTTTGTGTGTCTCGGACATCAGCCAGCGAGGGACTCTTGACAGTGCATTTGAGGCTTACCTGACATTGCAGCTTTTGTGGAAACCACAGTTCCCAACACCGAGATTTAGAATTTCAAGGGTAAGGTGTTTTGGGCTACAACTACAATTTAATCTCCTTCTCAGGTTTCTTTGTTGTGGCTATTCTGAACCTTCCTCCTCGTAATCTGCTCCTTACACACCAGCCTGTCCTGTTTGGTGACCGTGGCACTCCCGTTTCCTATTTGTGTTTGTTAGGATAAGCAAAAGAGTCTAAAAAAAAGCATTTTTATTATGCATCTCAACAGGAGTTTTGGAGCCTTTTGTGAAGCAAATGGCTCTGCTGTACTCGAAGCATCCAGAGCAGGGCTGTACCATACATGCTGGAGAACAATCCCTTATACAGTACTCTTGGCTGGTATAACAAAGTGAAAGCTTGTTGTCTCAGCCAAGTTCTGAACTGTGACAGGAGGATGACTTCCCACTGAGCAGAAATAAAGTGCAGGAATCCCTAATACACAACGAACATTACAACGATACACTGGAAAGTTTGGAACGTTGGCCGTGGTACATCCGTCTGTTTATTCCATGCAGTACTTATGCACATACCCCTCACGTTGAGCATCCATGAGCAACAATAATCCATCCTCACATCTCCACTGTGAGGTGGGAAACACAGGCAGTGAAAGAGATTAGGAGCACAGAAACAAACAAGCAGAAGGTCAGTGAGGCAGTTTCTGAACCTCATTTTAAGATTAGAAAGTGTTTAACTTGAACACATGCGGTATGGTACTGACTCATCCATTTTGTTTTAACAGCTCTTCTCTTCCTAATTTCTAGTTTTCATCAACAGCTGTGATACAGAAGCTTCAGTCTCATTGCGGTAGAAGTGCTACTGGGCTTGGCCTTCAGACTGTTAGGCTGACCAAGCCCAAGCTCCTTAAGTGCCTTCTCGTAAACTTATTCTTTCCATCTGCATATTCCAGTCTAAGTTTTCTTTCTTGAACTTGCAATTTAAAAACCCCAAGCAATACGGTATTTTTTAGATGAGACTTTTGCACCCAGCACAATGGTATCATTACTTCCCATGCAAAGAACACTATTAGGGACTTCTTTGCCTTTAATACAATGTATGTATGGGTTAAAGTTATCTTGAGGTCACTTGAAACTTGTCTGTCATTTCAGACAAGTGACTCCCTACTTATTGTTGGTTTCTGGTTAGCAGTCCCTAACAGTGTGCTCTTGCAATTTATGGTACTAGCTTGCATCTTGGTTTTACTGTTTCTGCCTTCAAAAATAATCTTACTGTCCCCACTTGCTATTCTGAATTGGTGATTCACACGTTGACTCTTGGAGACTTCTGTTCTATGGCAAGCACAGAACAAGCCCATGCAGCTCCAAATAATTTCTGTTATGGCAGCACATTCATGCTGTGACATGCGGATAATGGTAAAGCAAAATGACACCAACCCAACAATAATCAGAAAAAAAAATGAAAAAGTTAAACAGCACAAGGCAGAAAGCTGGCAAGGAAGGAAAGAAAGAAACAGTATGCTAATTCAAAGTACCTTCAATTTTGCAGTCAAATCTAGCAGCACTTCCTTCTACAACCTCTATGTCAAGGATTGTTTTAGTGAAATATGGCTTTACATGGGGCTTTTCTTCAGCCACTTCTTCAAGGAAAGCATCTGGAGGAAGAGCGAAGAGATAGTTAATTATTTTACAGGGCATGTTATCAAGAGATGCATTTGAATTTTTAATTACCAGAAAGCATCTTTTATTTCAGTTAATTCTGTAAGGCTAATGGGACAGTGAGGATGTTAGCTGCTTCATTTTGTGCCAGTCTCTCGCAGCTGGACAAAGATTCAGGCCATAAATAGAATGAAATCAGCATGCAGGCCACCATGCTACAAATCATCTTTATTTTTTCCTTGAATTTCTTTCTAACCGAACCTGGACTTCTGATAGTCAGAGGGGTAAACCAGTTCAACTTGTATCAGGCCCGCAGTCCATGTAAATATGTCAAAATTACTTGCTTGATTTTCAGAAGTGTCAAATGTGTGCACCTCTGATTGTTACACACCACAAATCCACATTTCAAATGGGGATGTAGCAGAATAACGTAGACACTTGGTTTTTTGCTTAAATGCCTCTGTCTGAGGAGCATGGTTAATGCAGAGCACGTCTTGGGTGCAGCAAGTGTTAATACTTTATTGCTGGCTCGCTTGCATGAGAAAGCAATACATCACTGTAATCTTTTCATAAACATGCATTCCCAAACTGATAGAAAGTGCAGCTGACAAATCTGCCTTAATTCTTTGGCTTTAAAAAGAGAAGAGTTTACTGCCCATACTTATACTGGGGCTTTCTGAGTAGCAGAACAATATGAGAACAATGAATTTTTGATAGATTTCTTTTAAAACAACAACAAAAAAAAGAAGATAAAAACAGAGAGGGAGAGCAGGAACGACCAACTCAATGATTGGTCTCTAGCATTTTACAAAAAGTTTTATTAAGGTTGATTCACAGAGAGGTAAAAATATGGTGCAGCAAAATTCCTTACCTTCGTTCTCTACTTTGTCTGCATTTATAGGGCTGGTGGGCGAGCTCCCAGAGGCCTTCCTCCCACTCATACCAGAAATCATTGCCATGGATGACAGTCTTCCTATTGCCCGGACAGCATGGCCTGTTTTCTAAGACATAACATAAAAGGCTTCTGATCAATCCAGTCCAACAGGCATGTAATTTTCTGTAACAATCGTGCTTCGAACAAATTATCCGGGATCCCTGCAAACCTCGCTGGAATTGTTGGACAAACTGCTTATATATAGCTCTGTTGTTTTAGGAGAGACAGAGCAGGCTGGTCTGAATTACCAAATTTAGTTGCAGATATAAACTTCCCCTGATGAACTCATACCTAAATGAATGTCTCTGTGAGCAGCGGATAAAAAGCACTGTGCGAGAGGAGGGCCAGCAAGAAAGCTATGTCCTGTTTAACTGAAACTTAACTCTGGTGGTGGACGGCTCTCTCAATAGCTGTATGGGCTGGACTGAGTTTCATCAAGGATGAATAACCAGCTAATATGAAATGAATGAAAAAGTACCATCTGCATGATGGAAGTAGGCCTCTGACAGGCTCGGGAATCAACCCCAGGATACTAAAATATGCTCAAACTATGTTACCTCCGCTACGGACGCTAGTGTTTTTGTACAGCTTGCATGAGCGCCTAAGAAACACGTACAGAAGAACGTAAGAGGAAATATAAGGTAGATTTACATAAATTAATATTTTGTAGGCTACTCAAAAGGCTGGATCCAGGATTTTATACATCAACTCCCCTAGCTATCAGAACGGCGCAGATGGACCTGCTACAGCACTTCTAGCATTAAGAAAAAAGAAGATATGGAGACCAGATACATCAAAGAAAATTATTAAACCGATCTGACCAAATCCATGAGAAGCTTGGTGCTCCATCAGGACACAGCTGCTGGCTTAGGAGAATGAAACTACCACAAAATGAGGTATCTTTAGAGAGGCCAGGTAGATAAGCTTTTTCCTAGCTCTTCAGGTTTGTTAAGGATAACATAATCCCTGAGCCCTCAGTGGCATGGAGAGGGCAGGGAGGAGAGATGGTCATACCCCCAAAAGAGTAGGAAAAACTATACTTGAACTCAGATGCCTTTTAGTATCCTGAAATGGAATCATCACATGTTGGATATATGCAGCTGTGCACCCTCGTACTGCTCACCAGTAGAAACCAAACCTGCTTTACTGCATTCATACTCTGACCACACTGGAGTTTTCACCAGCAGCAGAAACCATCTGGCATGGCATGTTTCTCACAATCATAAACATTCAAAATAAAGAGACTTATTAGGATAACTAGCCCAATTCTGTGTCCTCTTCATTACCTGCCATTTTCTTCTGGCCATATATTTCTTCATCCTATCTTTGGAAAGTTTTTTGGCTTCCATGTTTTTGATGTCTTTTTGCAGCCAAGGATGCTGAAGACACTGAGTACAATTTAAGCGACTCCTGTTTTTATATAAAAAGACTAGTCAGTGTTGCCATTAATGATAGTTGAACCTACCTGCTTTAATATTATTTTGCACTCTCTTTTCTGAGAGCTGATTTTTCCGTCTCCTAAATTTAGCAACATAGATCACATGACACTGCTCTCCCAGCTGTGCTTACTTCTTAAACTCACCTTCACAATTTCTGTAGTTTTTTTGGAGAGAAAACTGTGCACTTTCAAGTGTTAATAAAACATTATAAAACAAAGCACGAAAAGCCGTATGTTCTAGGCATAGAACACCTACAGCAGAGCCACAATGGCAATGGTTCAGCTACCTCATGCTGGCAGAACCCTGTCCCAGATCTCCTCTCCTTCACTGACAGGGATCTCCCATTTCCCACCGCTTAATGCCCTCCTTCCCTGCAGCACTGAACATTTAACAAAACACAAATGTCCAAATCTCTAATCAAGCCACATCCATTCTTCACTTTGTTCATGGTACACAGATAAATAACCTTCAGTTCTCCATCCATCCGATTGCAAACTCATTGGAAGAAGTACATTTTCTTCCCTTGGTTTGTTCAGAGTCTGCTGTAAACAGGGCTTCTGACTCATGATTTTTTTTTTTTCTTGCCTGATTACTAGATTTATAGGAAAGCTGCCTACTCGGAGGTACTGCACTTAAAAGCAACACATGGAAATAAATCTGGCAAAATTGCAACCCATTCAGATCAAGACAGAACATGTCATGCAGGAATCTGTGTCACACAAGGGTGAAGATAAGAGTAGCCACACAAAACCTTGGGGTGCATCTTGCCCAAGGGAAGGGAGAACCGGAATAGGCACGCGATTAAAAGGCAGGCGCTCCATTCAGACCCTGCACCCTGCACGTAAAATAAATGACAGCTGCACACAGACAGACAGGCACACAGAGCTTTGCCAGAGGTGCCTGTGGCGATGTGGAGATTCACAGTGGGGAAACAAGAATGGCAAGTTCAGCTAAATGCAAACATAGAAAGTGTATCAAGTCCGACAGCTTTACTTCATATCTTTCTTCAGCAGGTTGCTGATGAAGTCCTTGGCATCGTCAGAGATTTCATCAAAAGCCTCATCATCGAAGTCCCACGTCGCTGAGGTAACATTGGCTAGGGTTTCGTTGTCGTTGTCTCCCATGAAAGGAGAAAGTCCACTGACCCTGGGAAGAGAATAGACAGACACACACAAAACAAACAGTGTCAATTTGCAAATTGTCAGAGGAGCAAATTAAAATCATGTGTGACATCTCCTATGCTCTGCAGATGTTTATCAGTAAAAGCTCCCTTTAAAAAAAAACAACAAAAGGACTCAAAGCTAACTACAGGTAGTCTTATAGGAAGGAAACTAGAATTTTGACTGAAAAACTGAATGGAAAAATTTTGCTCTTTCTTTCTCTTTCTCCAAGACATTTTTGAGGAAAGAACTAGAATTAGGTGAAAGTGGAGCATACTAGTCTGTTAAATGACTCGTCTAGTTCTGCATAAATAATACAGCAATTTTTACACCAAATTCAGCAGAATAGCTTTTTTTTTCCTGGTGCTTTCAGAGTGACTTTGTTGCCTTTGCTGTCGAAACAAGGGGGTTTTGTACATTTTATTCCATTTACTCCTGCAGAGAGAGCCCAAGAAGAAAGATGCATAATGAAATCATGAAATCCACAGGGCTATTTTGTAAACAAAACCACCTTGAATTATACAGCCAGATAAAACCGTGCTACATCACTGCAGGCTGTAGAATTATGCAGATGCATCCAAAAGTAATTTGGTCTTTATGTCTTCATGCATGATGATGCATGAAATGGTAATAATACTCTTTTATAACCTAAGTTGAGCTTCCAAGGCTTTTTACTCAATATAACTGATAAATTGCCAGTGAAAGGCAATTACAGAACATCACGGTGCCATTTTTGCAGAGTATCTTTCTCCAGTTGAGTGTTGTCCTTTATTATACTGTACCTTTGTGCATCTGGATACTTTTGATTCCTGTATATATCACCCTTTCAGTAAAAACTTTCAGGTGAAAGGTTGCATATTCCTTAGAACTACAAGTTATTCAGTTTTCCAGGTCTTCTTCCTGACATGCAATTTACATAATAACCTATTCTTAATGAAATTTGACAGACTTTATTTGCTTTCTCTATGCAATCATGTTACCCAGTTACAACAACCGGTTACATTTCAACAGTAGTACATTTTTTTTTTTTTAAATATAGAAAAAATAAGTGGAACTTATTAGGGTTCTGAAAATACTTTATGGCTATAATACTATATGAATATTGTGATGCTACTGAATATCACAGAACAGACTAGTAGAAAAAGAGATTGGGATCAAATAAAGTGAGCTACTAGATTAATAATATTAGTGTAATCGCCTCCTCCAAAGTTATTTTTGCTATGCTTTTGCTACTAATTACATTCAAAATCAGATTTGGAATTTGTTCCTAAGGATTTTATTTCTATAAGCAAAGCAAAACACACAGTCTTTGAAGCCTCAGACAAAGCAGATACTAACTCTTTTACCATTTCTGGAAATTGTGTGCAGTACATCAGAGTCTAGAATCTTAACATGTATACTTCAGACACTTGCTAGTAATAATACATGAGAAGAAGATAAAAGGTTTGTTTCTTCTCAGGCAGAAAGAGATAAACCAGAACAGAAGGCATTTGCTGTCTTACTTTCCATTACATGGGATGCATTCAGATGCAACAGTGAAGCACGACTTTATAAATGTATAAGGTGGCATAAACCTGTCTATGAACATACATATAATAGGCATAAATTACATAAAGCCGAAAGATTAGCATACCAAAAAATGCTCACATAAAACAACTTTACCACGACTGTTCTCTGTCTTTGACACTTACTTTACTGGAAGCGATAAGGTTTATGCCTGATAGCACTGGAGAGCTGGTATAGCTGCAGCGCAATGAGGGGCTCTCTTCTGGCCCCAGGCACATCAGCCGTCAAGGCCAGGTAAATCGTTGAAGCAAAATCTTTGTCCTGGAATCCGCACAGCACTCCTGTAGGGCCTTAAACCTGTTTCCACTCCAATATTTAAGCATTTTCCTATTTGTGACAATGTCATGGCTCTCTATAATGTTTTAGAAAGTGAAAAAATCTCATCCAGACTGCAATTCTAAGTTTTGGGTTCCAGATACTGATTACTAAGTTGTCTCATTTTTGAATATGTACTAAGTATAATAATCTCTCAGCCAATTCAGCAGCTGCTAAAAAGGCTCGTATTTTATACAAATGAAGGGTCTATGAAGTATTTCTTTAGTTCACTGTCAGTGTAGGAGATGCACATCTTCTCTTCATCCAGGTAAGCTTCCAGAGGACACACTTGGGCAACCAGAGCAATAACAATCACATTTCCCTTCAATACTTGATCGAAGTATGGCAAAGGTGACCTCTGCATAGTATTACCGCAAATAGTATTGTGCAGCTATTGCGCTACATTAGATAATATTTTGGCCTGTTTCCAGAGATTGAAGCTGCAGTACTGAGAGATCATTTCCATGCTAAGAAGACTGCTACAGGTACAGAGACGTTGCTGCATGGAGAAACACCACTGCTCCACACTGCCATAAGAGGCAGTGCTTATAAAGACATCTGGCTTTCTGGGCAAAGGGATAGTGCACGACACACACATCTTTTGAGGGATGAGGATAAATAGAAGGAGATTAGAGAGGAAAAAAAAAACTTTGGTTGTTTTAGTTGACTTTTTTTTTTTTTTTTTTTTTTTTAAGAATTGCATGACAGAATTGTCAGATAAAATCTTAAATGCTGTGGTAGGATTGACCCATCCCATACTGTGGGTATTTCTCGCTTTGGTAAATTACCAGATGGGTATTGCTTAAGCCTCCACTCACTTTGTCATTTCCAAACACCAGTGTAACAGTACCCATTCACACGTTTCAATGAACCTATTTTCGTATTTCTGAATGTGCTGTTGTAAATTTATAAGGCTAAAATAATTTTCTCTCTCTACCACAGTTTTACACTATGAATCAGTTGCCTTGTCATGGAAATACTTGTAAGGAGAACGAGATCCTTGTCTATAGTCAGAAAACAAAATCCAGTAACGAGCATAGTTTATAACCAGAAATTCTTATCTTTAACACAGATTTCACTGACCTGAGTCTTGGTTGTTCATTTCTTAATAGCCATTTAAAGTAATAATGTCCCAGCAACTCTTTTGACAGATTATGGAAACAATTTCTTTTTGGAATGCTGAAGCTAAGTGATAAAGATGAGCTACCCGCTCCAGAAAATTAATAATGAGCTTACACTGCAAAGTTACTATTAGACAAGCAGCAAGTTGTTTACTGAAAACATTTTTCCAGCTACTTAACCAGGCATCTTCCTGGCATGTTAAGAACCATTTGTTTAGAAAATCTTTCAGTTTCCACTTCTAAATAAAGAAGAAAGATATTTTATCCTCTAGAAGTTCCTTAACGTTTATTGGTCTGTTCTAACAAAGCTCTGAGTGCAGATTTAGAAATGTTAAGATCAAAAGGGTCCAATGTGGTTGCTGGTCTCTCTGTCTATGTAACAAATAGCATAGCATTTCACTTGGAAATCTTTGCATGAAGACTGCTACTCATCCAGGAAAGATGAGTTTGCTGCATGTCTCAAAAAGCCAGACTCCGAGCGTTCCTCTGCAGGCAGTGCTTCCAGCAGCAACTGCTCAGGGCTGATGACACTGAGCTCCTCCTTACAGTCTTTGCATCGCATTAGCAGTGAAAAAAAGTAACAGATCTCGGTATGAAGAGTATGATCTGCTTCTGATAAATCTGTGCAGGTCATGTCAAATGAGCACATGATAATGCCTGCATCCTGGAGATCATGTAGTGATTTCATTCTTTTACAAGTGAAATGAAACAAATCAAGGGTACTTTGTGGGGGACACACATCCACCTTTTCCTTAGCTGAGGGCTGACTGACTCCCACAGTGGTCATCTCAAGGAAGAAACAGGCCACTGAACCCACGTAAAGGAAGACAGCTCATTGCTGAAGCAAGGGTGTTACTCTGTTCTCATCCTTGGTTTATGTGCCCAGTGGATTAATGAGGAATCACAATTTGCCAGTGTCACTGAACAAATAATTCCTTTTCCTTTGAGCAGTACAGTCATGACATTAAAGCTCTCTGAACTTGCTTTATTGAATGAACAAGGAGTGCTCTCTCATCTTTGTATTAATGAGGCTTAAATTTTCAATACGACAAGTATAAGCCAGCGGCATGAGTGTCTTGCCTTATCAAAGTCCCAAGTCAGCACACCCAAAAGGTGAGTGATGCGGAAGGACCTTTCAGCCAACCCAAACTGCCAAACGGAAGGAATAACAGCAGCGATGAATGACACAACAGAAAAAAAGGAAAGAGAATGTTTGAAGAATCAGGGTGCATGTTATTAGGAAGGTGCTGAAGGAAAAGCGTATACAGCAAGATCAAATGTGATATTAAAAACCATCCTAAGATATAGCATATTAAAAAATTATTAATTGTCAGAGATCAACTACTCTGAAAAGACAGCCACTGCCTCGCACTGATAAAGCAAGAAGAACTAATAGAAAGTAAGCAGAGGTTTGAGTCAGCCACGGCCAATTCCTCACGGATACTGGTCAGATTTGATGGTGACAGAAGGAAAAGGGCTGTCCACTTGCAATGTATGTACATGCAGCGGTGAAATTTTAGACCAAAATTTGAACTAAAAATAGAATTTAGAAATTATTTCAGATTACTAAGTATTGGAAACACTATCTAAATGGATCATCAGAAAAGAAATAGAAAAAACAACAAACAAATTCAGCAATGCCCAGAAGAATAAATAGGACAGAAAGAGCTGGAAAGAATTCCGGAGGTTTAACCTTCATTAGATAAAGATTATTGTAAATGCAAAAAGAAACACTGAAATAGACATAAATGGAAATGATATACACAAGCTATAATATTCGTGGCCTGTTACTTCAAAGGCAATAGATCAGCTTAAGTATGTGGGACAGTACTGTGATGCAGAACAGGAGAGAGAACAAGATAAAAGTGGAAGATGAAAAACATGAGGTGGGGAATACAAACAGGGAAATTTAAGGAAGAAGAAAGACTGATGAAGCGACAGGTCTGAATAAGTTATCCAGAAAGATTAAAAGGATTTAATATGTAGCTTAGAAATGTGGAAAGGGAACCCATGAGCTGTAGGATGGAATTAAGTCAGTCGTGGCATAAGGAAAGCAGATGCAGCATCACAAGAGAGAGTGTAATATCTGTACTTACACCTGCATAGCAGAAGGCGAGGAAAGAAGTTTTGCTGCAGGGTTTTGGAGGAGTGCTGTCACTTTGTTTCCTACTTGAGATTACATCCCACCCATCTATTCTTCTGCAGGGAAGACCCTTCACCCCTGGAGATCTCATTAGCAGCTCTTTGCTAAACCTGGTTTCTATTCATTGTTGTACAGGGTATAATGGAAACATCGTCCCTTTCTAGGCAGGTTACAGGTCTCCCATCACCCTAGAATCCTACCTTAAAGAAGCTGTTATGTCAAGTCATGCAACAGGATGCTCCCTGGGCTTCACTTAGGACATGGGTTGGACACAGCAGCTTTGGGCCATCAGCTGCCTGTAGCAGACCTGCCCTTAAGTCCAGTGCTGCTGCAGCGCTCACTTCTTCCTTCATGGCCCCACTCACCGCATCAGGGGGAGAGGGGATGCAAATGCTAAGTGACAAGCACAGTGATGGTGTGCGGGACAGACACCAAATGAGTGAGTCTTACACTTCATGCATGAGATTTGGCAGTTCTGAGCTTATAAACAAAACAGGAAAGCAGAGATACAACTAAAGAGAGATGCAGTTCTCAATGACTTTTATTTGCATTCTGTAATGATGATGTGATGGTCCACTTTGGATAATGGCTCATAGTTGTGAGTCTGCAAAAATAGCTGGGCTTTGAGGAAGTGAAGACAGATTGGGAGCCTGCCTCTCTGGGGTGGAGAGGGAAAGTCCAAGCAATGACTCACAGGTCTTCCCTAACTTCCATTACTTCATTCTTAGGCAAGGAAGACAAGAGCTGATTATTACTGTTGATCATTATTGTGGCAATAGCTATGCATCAAAAAGATTTTCGTTGCGTTTGGGTAATGTACTCAATGTAATGTTAGCTAATGTAATGTTTGGGTAATGTTACTCCCCTCCAGAGGAGTTAAATGAGCTTGAACACACCTTAGCAAACAAGTCATTTCCTAATATATTTCACAAGTCATATCTGGTCATCTGAATCAAGCATACCACCGCCCCAATCCCATCAGCTGAACATTACAGCATCCAAATATCTTGCTTCTGGTGACACAGAGAAACTGGGAAGAAGCAGTTCAGCCGTTGCCGGCAGACTGGTCTTTGGCAAGACGTTTCACCTTTTCTCCACCTGTTTCACGTGCTCCCTTTGCCTTGTCTACTTAGATGATGACGGTGTTCTCCAGCACATACTGTATGGGAGCAGCACCCTGGCTGCATGCCTTAGGAGCACACACAACTGCTATCACCGATTTTTGCCTTGGTTGTTCGACATGTCACTGCTTATTCTGTAAACACATGAAAACTCATCATATACTTTGATAGCAAATGACAGCAAAAGATGTTAAACTCCCCAAATGTGCGTGTAACCCTGTGGTTAACGTTTTGTCCCTTGAGGTGTAGGAGGCCTCTAGAGGGCAATGCAGCATTGGTGTCACGGGTGGGTTTTCCATTGCTGTGCAGGCAGGCTGGCACCTCCGGACCGCGCTTCCAGTGCTTTCTAACTCAGGAGGCCTCAAAAGCCAGAGAAATAAATGAATTTGTCATCTGAGTATTGCGTGTGTGGTCTACATTATTTGAACTACAGGGTGATCCAAACGAGCTTTCAAGATCTAGAAAGAAATGCTGGAAGTGGATTGAAAATAAAGGTCCTGTAAATAAACTGGCAGAGCAAAGTGACCTTGAAGAGTGTAGCACACTTCACATAAGAAACAGAAGATAACAGAAATATTCAGAGTCTCTGCTGGGAGTAAGGCAGTTGATGTAGTAGCTTTTGCACGGGACAAGACAGAAAATCGTGTTGCTTAGTTTGGAAATGAGAAGAGTATGAGAACAAGTATAGGCTGACAAGGCAAGCAGAATCACAGACAGACTGAGTAAAGGTGAGGCAAACAACTGCATTGCCAGAGGGTAGCCAGGGTGGAGGGGACTCTTCTAGAAAAAGAAAGTAGGGTATTGAGAGGAGGCTTTTAAAAGAATGAGTGCATAGCAGATCTGCTGTTTACTTACTATTGAAACTGGAATGAGGGAGAAAGAACCGTGCTCCAAACTGAGCTTCTCTTTTCATTTGTTTATATGGCAACAAATGTGTAAAGTCACAGTTGGAAGATCACTTGCTGTTCTAGGCACAGAGATCCTATTTCCATGTACATTTCCCTAGACCCACTGAAGTTCATAATCATGTGTTATCAAATGACATATAAAGATCAAATCAAGTACCAAAATATGTAACCAAGAGCTGCAGCTAGCCGTCTTCTAAAATATTTCCATGAGCTTGATCCATGCTGCTTATAAAATGTATTTATCCAGTGGTTTGTGCTTAGTGATAAATTATAATGCACTGTGAATAGATATGGTAATGCTGGGATACTTTAGTCTGTCCCACGGGGGATACAATCTGAGTAAGAAGACCCTAAAATGTCACAAAAATATTCTCTTGGGAATAAAAGAAGGGAAATTACCAGTTATTAGTTCATTAGTGCATGCCCAAACCCTTCTCTTTAACATCTGGGAAGGAAGAATAGTTTAAAGTTAATAATAAAATAGTGTCACATTGTCTTTTTAAATGAGATGAAGCATTGCTGGTTTATGATGTAAGATGTACAATACTAAATGGCTGAATTTCCAGAACTGCTAGTTCTGCAGTTTACCAATGACACCCTTCAGAGAACAGAGAATTTTTATTAAACATGCTGGAGCTGCTAATTAGAATACAAAAGGCCTGAAAATTGGAGAAGAATTCAGAAGTCGATGGAAATTTTGTGTGTTCAGCAACTGTCAGGATTTGTGTTAAGAATAGCAAATGTACTCACAAAATGTAGCAGATAACTCCTATACTCCACATATCTGTTTCATATCCAATAGGTTCATAGTTTATAACTTCTGGAGCCACAAACTCAGGTGTCCCAAAAAGAACTTTCAGAGAACCTGCATTTTCTGTGAAGAATGAAAGGGAAAACCATTATACTGCTGCATGCAGATTTCTAAAAACAATTATTCCCCACTAACAGGAAAATCAGTTTTGCTCTCATATTTGTGATGTTGTTAAAGATCCTTATCAGAAAAAATAAATGATGCTTGAACTGCTGTTTTCTTAGCTGATACATGTATTGCAATAAAGAATTATTTATTAAGCATCCTCAAGCACACAGCACTGTACCAGGCACATAATAAGAAGGTTTAAATTGCAAGGAGTTTCCACGAGATCAAGTCTAAGAAAGAGGGGAACTTTTAGTGTTTAATTCAGACTTGGATGTCCTGAGGTACAAAAGTGTTTGAGCCTCCATTGCTTTAGCATTTGCACAAGAGGACTTCAGGATTCCACCATTAGAAAGAAATTGAAGTTTTCACAAATTATCTAAGATTTATCAAAGCTCAGGGTTCTTCATTTTATGGTAAAGAGAAACAGTACTGATAAAAGTATAATAATAAGAAATAACTATTTTAAGCCAACACATTTTTAGCAGTTTAAACATGAAAGAAAATCAATACTGCATTGCATGTCTCTGAAATTTGAAGTGGCACAGGTCAGTGGTGAAACAAGAAAAGAAGCAGATGACATGCACCTGTCAGATCACTACCTTGTCAGTAAAACTGGGCCTGAGCCTGCTCACAAAACCAGGCTTGCCTACAAGCATACCTGTGGAGCTCCAAAGTGGTGAAAGGGAACCACGTCATCAGCTGCCACTCCAAACTTTTGTTCAGGGGGCCTGTAGCACAGATGTCCTACATTTGGCTCTGCTTAAACACAATGTGGATGCTTTTAAAATTATCTACAATGAAGCTACTGCTAGCAATATGAGCTGAAAGAATGAGGTCATGGGACACGTGAACTCGCTCTTCATCTTTCCTGGGCTGACCCACCAGTATTGCTGTACTGGAAAATACAGTGATGAAGGTAGAATAGCAACCTGTTCAGAACCTAGTATTGCCAGGTTATGCTGCCAGTGTGCAACTATGAGTGATATGTCTAACTCTTAGTCATGGTGTTAAACACAATTCAAGTTATTTAGATAGAAATTATTAGGCAAATCTCAATGGGCTTATTTTCATCAATGCTTATTCTAAATAGAATGGGGAGAATTAAAAAGAATCCGCAAGGTCAGGGAGGAAGGAAACTAAGGAATAGATTAGGGACAGAGGAAAAAAACCCCAACAATCCCAATAAAAAATTTGTATTATAAAAGTTTTAAAATATCAGGAAATAAATTGTTTCTGACTTGACACAGGCTTGGATTTAGGTTGAGAAACTCTTGTCCAGTCTGCACGTGTGCCTGAGCAATCAGTTTTTGCCTTAAGTGAGATTCATTGCATTACATTTATCTTTTGTGCAAGAGTAGGATCCAGATTAGGCACAGTAGAATGACACCGTGAGGAACCACCCCTCTCCCAGAGAGATTACCATCTAAACAAACCAGATATGAATATGAAGAAAGACAGATGTAACAGATTCCAAACCTGCTCCTGTTAAGATTACCACAAATACAGAGATTTGCAGCTCTATAATCAAGAGAAAATCTTAAAAAACCTCAAATAACAGCAGATCAAAGTTCTGAGAAGACTACAATAGGAGCTAGTTGTCCACAACACTGAATCTTTACAGAATATTTTTATTTACCAGAACTTCCTCTACCAAGTTTTGCAACATAAATGCTGATCCCAGTACTGACTCCACACCTACAGTTACCTCCATTGGAAGCTGCTAAGCCATTTCATAAAATGTAATCATACACCTAAGTTAGTACTCTTGTGAGGGATGCAAATCGCCAACTTGCCAAATGAAAATCGAAGGATATATGGTGTTAATAACTTGCCTAATGATTGAACAGCATGCTTGACACAACTTTTAAGCACTACCACAGTAATTCACTCACAGTTGTGCCAGTTTCCCATTTTAAATGCTGTGAAACTCTTTTTCATAGAATAGAATCATAGAATCGTTTAGGTTGGAAGGGACCTTTAAGATCATCGAGTCCAACCTGCTCTGCTCAGGTATGGTGATAGTAAATTAATTGCAGAAACCTCATTTTCACAGTTATCCCTGCTTTCAGAGACCCCTCCATGCAGAGGGTACCCATTTCTAGAGACAAAAGCAGACAGAAAATCGCCTGGGAGCAGCCCCAGGAAATCATCTAGATCCTTTCATGCAAGTTCACCAACATCAAGATCTTCCTGCCAGATGTCTGACTAGCCTTTAAAGAGCACTTTCAAAAGCTATTCCACAACATTGCTACACTCACATAACCAGAGTTTTCTTACCCCAAAAAGCAGGATCCCTTTCCGACTATCCAATCTAAGCTGACTTTGCCTAAGACAAGGGCAATGTCTTCTCCACAATGGCATGAGGGGTAAGAGATCATCCTTGCTTTTCCCAGCACAAACGAGAAGCCTAAGATCCCATCTTCTCATTTACCTTCTTTTTAAGGTCAACACCTACATTTTTTCCCAACTGTCCTTATGAAAAATTACTGTCATTTGTCACAGAGAGCCTATTTTCTAAATGCTTCATCATGATCATCCAAATCTCAGGCTCAGATTTTCACATCCAAGTTTGGAGGCTTTTCTGTGCACTGTGTAAACTACCGTGAGCCACTGTGTATGTAAAAGGCTGGTGTATGAAGTGTGCTGCCCACAGGCATTTGAGTGCAAGCACACAGTGTGAAGCAACCAATACAGCATTTTCTATCTATAAAAGAAAAAAGAAAAGAATAAAACTTTTTCTGTGCAATAATATGTCAAATCTTTACCCAGATGTTTACAAGCTTAGTACACAAGTCGGATCTCTGTTTGGATATCCCTTAGTTCAGACGGAAAGCTGATAAGCTAGCTGGAAACTGTTGCCGACACTGTGTATAATCAACTGATTAAAAAAAAAAAATAAATCTTTACAGTACTCAAAACCCATTCTCTTTTCTCCTCAAGAAGTTTATCTTAAACAATTTTCTACATGTGTTCCTCAGCACACCAAAAAAGGTCAGGAAAATATCCCACTGCAGCTTTGGTATTTCCTGACAGTGTAAGAGAACTAATTAGCTACAGAAGATGACTACAGAAGGAGCTGATCCTAATTTCTTTAAAACTGATTGTGACACTGAATATTTAGAGGCATTAGTTTGCACTAGTTACAAAAAGTTGGAAGTAAATCTCAGAAGCTGAAGTGCAAAATCAGCCACTGTTCCCTTCAGCAGTCCCTTGGTTGAGCAGTTTCTGCTCAATCAGGGTCAGGTCCATAGTATGAGGACTCCAATCCCACGTCTATCAAAGCCGAGATGAATTTGACAGCCTATTTCAAAATCACAAGCCTTGAAGGGACACAAGTGGAGGAACGTGCCCTCAGTGCACCACACAGGACAACTGGCAAGAAGCGGGCACTTAGTGAAAAGTATTTTTACCAATTTTTGTAAGTAAATGAAATAGTAAAAATTGTTTTCTACTTTTGGAAAACATCTCAACCAAAATGTTAAAAATGTCTTCATGATTAACACAGTGCTTTTACTTTATGTGTGTGGAACGGGAGGGCACTTTCTCTTCCTAGGGAAATGCCAAATACACTGTGTTATCCAGAATGGCAGGCTGATGAAAGAAACAACAAATACCTATAATGTAACTTTGCAAGAATTAGCAACATATTAAGCCAAATGAATGTATAATATTGTAAAATGAAAATCAGCATCAGTGCCCATAGCTCTCATCCTTCTGCATCAAGAAAAGTTATACATAGGTTCGAGGCTTACTACATATGGCATGACTGTGGCAGCTCACAAGCTAGCGTCAGCCATGCAATATACAGTGATGCCACGAGATTAACAGAAAAATGGAAAAGCTGATGGATATGAACAGGCTACTGAAAATAGGATCTTCCTTTCGCTAAATGTGGGTTTAACTGTGGTTTGAAGTTAAAAGGTCATTGAGGGAATGTCTATAAAAAGGCCATTCTGTGGTTACATTGTATCTCTTGTTGATGAAATCCATTCCATTCAGCAGTAAATGTATAGTTTTCAGGCTGACAGCTGGAACTTCACGGGATGAAGTCTTTCACACACCTCTGGTAACAAAAACATCAGCACTGGAACATACTTAACAGCTCATCTGTTTCCTCAGCAAGAACAAAATCCAGTTCGTGCTCCCAGAAAACTACTGGCTCCGTACTAGTGAGGGAACATAAATGGCAGTGATCTCTTTTTTTAATGAATGAATGAAATGAAATAAACACCGTGTTTCTGAGTTCACAGTGTCCATGTGACCGAGATTCATGTAATATCCTTTTGGAGTTGAACATCATCTAAAAAGCTGAAAAGCAGACTTCTTTTCTGCTGTTCATTCAACATACCATTTTTGGTTTGTTTTAGTAAAATTGTATTCTTGGGTATGCAGTAGTCTGCTACTTAAGTGTCAAAAGAAGTAGGATGAGCAGTGTGTAGGCAGATAACAAAACCCAGAAGGTTGTAATTCCAAACTCTACTCTTACAAAAATAATTGCTCTACTTTTTAATAAGTATTAAATATAGTTTTGTTTAAAGAGGGAAGGCCAAAGATTACAACTAAGAATCTAGCTGCGGGCCCCTTTATATAGAAAGTAGTAGTTCATATGAGTTGTCCCAATCAATTTAGTGGCAGAAGAGCCACAAGTCTCAGTTCTCCCAGTGTAACAGGTTCATAAAGTATTTTAGCTTCTTTCAATTCAGGAATGATTGTTTTTCTTTTGTGAAAATACAAAGATCAGTGTGTGATGTTGGTATTGTTTAACACTAACAAACACAACTGGAGGGCTGCTTTTTAGAGCTGAATTAACGCTGAGCAATATGAAGACAAGAACCCTCCAAGGTATTCGGCTTTCAAATTGCAGAACATGTTGGAAAGCTTACTCCAAAATGAACGTTAGGAAGCAGCTAAAGCTTAGGAAGAGGAGGAGCTTTTCAAATAGAACTCTCCTCCACCCCCACCCCCCGTATTAATTGCATTATTTTTAAGTAGTACTGTTTTATTAATCATTTTGAGCATGACCAAAACACAGCTCTTTATAGAATTCCTCCCATGTTTAACATGTATGACAATATGCTGCTGTTTAGGATAGGAAATGCTAAAACTAATGGGGAAATGTAAATTGAATGTAATTATCCATATCTGAAAGTCATCTAGAACATCAGCTTAACTCCTGCTGTTACAAAAGTTTCAAGGATTTGTAGTATTCATGAAGATGAAGGGTTTGTTCTAATTTTTTACAGCTGGAGAGTTAGTTTTATGGTTTCCTGCAGCAAATCTAAATATTTGTTAACATTACTACTACTGTGTATTTTACCTTGTAATCTACAGGGATACCCTAGCCATAGAAACAGATAGGTAGATTGTATACACTTCACTGCAAACTCCTCGTGAAGATGAGGTGCCCTACTCTCATTCTCAAATATTTTCTTTTTATCTTTTCTGTTTTTTCCTAAAACCAGAACTATTTATAGAAAACATGTCTATTTACGCTTTATACGTGAAAGAATATAATGGTAAGTAGGAATTACTGCTTGTCCTGCCCTTTTCCCCATGTCATATTGAAACAGGCAGAAAAGTCATTACCTAATCTTCTTGCAAGTCCAAAGTCAATGAGTTTGATACTTGTACCGGTCTTGTTGACACACATAATATTTTCTGGCTTCAAATCCAAGTGGACAATACCCTGCTTATGGATGTACTGAACTCCTTCTGAAATCTGCTTCATATATTTAATGCACTCTCTCTCTGTCAGTTCAAAGTCTTCATCAATGATTCTTTCAAAGAGTTCTCCTCCAGAAACCCTATGAGAAACAGAATAAAAAGAGGATGTTGCAGCATTTTCATTTTGGGAGTAATCAAACTATTTCCTTTACAGAAATACAGATAGTTCAGGCTCGCAAGAGTCACTTCAGGATGCAATCTATATTTTGTAATGGCACTTTCTATAGACACAAGGATCCCATAGGAAGAATCACCTCTTGTTATAAAACAACAGATTTTTTTCTATTCTGAATCTCTTTCCCAGTTTAGGACTGTGAAAAACTTACAGTGTTATCCCAAGCAGTAGGGTTGTAGCTGGATTTACATCCTGCCTTTAGGATTCAGTCACCTGCAGCTGGCAGTAAAGTGTGTGCCATGTGCTTGTCACCTCGATGACACGTCTTTATAACACTGCCCCAGACTGAGCTCATGTTTCTCACTGCTCCCTTCCCCGCTGTGCTCCATCACTATACAGATGCAGATAACGTAATTTAGAATTAAAGAAAACTAAAATACATGGGACAGGTCCCAAGAAAAGAGGACAAAACTTCTAGCAGATGAGCAAAAATGTGGGAAGAAGAGAGATTGAGAGTGACAAAGAAAGGCTGAAGAAGGAAGAATTCAAACGATATGGTTAATTGGAATACAAAGCTCAAAGGGTAAATTACTGACCCAAGTGAGCTCAGAGGGAATTTCCTCCTTAGCTATGACAGGACAAGGATATAATGCACAACTCTTTCAGTGCTGGTATTTTTAGTTGAGCCATCATCACAATCCTTGTAGGTCAATCCCATTTTAATGCTTATTTGAGATGTGAAATAATTGGTCTTTCCAGGGTAGAGTCTCCTGGATTGAACTGTTTGTGGAACTAAAGTGGGACATTTTAAACCTAGATTTAATAAAGCAAAATTTAAGTTTTGTTTTGTTTTTAAGTTCTGAGTAATCACTCAACTGTTTTATCTGCTTACATCCAAAGATGGGAAATACTTTTTTTGTATGCGGCGGGTGAATGACCCATACAGAAAGGAGCAACTGTTGAAGAGCAGCTTTGCTTTTAGAAATCTGTTCTAAATTAAATGCTCTATGGTCTTTATATGGCTTAATATTTTGCAGCATTCATGCTTATTGCCAAATGTAATTGCACATTTCAGTTACAGAAAGAAAACACACAACTGAAAACTGGCCTTGCGATGTTTGCAGGTTGTCAGATACATGATTATATCCCTCGTGTACTAAACTGAAATTGAAACATCTGGAGTTCTGGGCACATTTGTTGCTTTGGCTATAAGATTTCAGAAAATATATAATTAGAAATGCTACTGCAGTTTCCTATTAACATGAAAAGCGTAAGGATAGCATACACTTGACAAACTGAGAAGTTACATTGGGTTATAGCACATTTGTAACATAAAGCCAATAACATGGCTAGAGCTTTTGAATAAACAGCTCTGCTAAGTCGAGGACCTAGTATTTTGTTACTTCAGTAAGACATTAACTGGTAAGGAGGTGTTTATGCATGCAAAATGTTTCTATCTGGAGCACTCTGCAATTCCAAATGACAACCATGCTAATACTAAAAAGTACCAGTTGTTTTTTGACTACTTGACACAGATAATGATGACTTATTTTTACTGTAAAAGTGCCATACTTTTCAGATCCCCAAAGTGAAAAATTTGAAGAAATCATGCCACTGTCTCAAGCACCACTTTTTAGCATATTATTTGGAACGTAACTACTGTTAATACATCTGCATGCTGTTTTTACCCTGGGACCTCTAGACACTCTGGTAACATCATTAGATTAAGCTGCAATTGCATTTATAGAATGCATATTTTTTCTTTCATATCCTGAGCCAAATCCAGTTCAATTTTTGCCAGGTTAGGAAGCTGGCAGAAGGAGAAGTCAGTTTTCTTCAGTCACAACTAGTTCAGAATCTAAATCTCTCATTCTTTTCTGGATTCTCTTCTTTTTCAGTCTTCTCTAGATGAGGTCACAGAGGAAAATATTGCTGTCTATAGAGTCACAGAATACACATTTTAAAAATATTTTATTATAAGGTTTTGGTCATGGAGGAACAGTGAGAAGAATCTACCGTGGAGTTGCCCAGGCAAATACTCAACTGCATTTTAATAAAACTCCCTTCAAAAAAAAAAAGAGAAAACCTTAGTGACTTGTGCCAATTTAAATCACACCAAACGAATGGAGTTTATGGCTGAAATTTTGCTTTAATATTCTTAACTCGCAATACAATAATATTCTTCTGATCTACGTCAAAATAAACTGACTACCTGAAGTATGTAAAAACTTTAAGGCACTTAGCTCCTGGCGCTGAATGCAATTCATAACATGCTACTATTTTTCAGATATTCTTTTTCCACAGAGATGCTTATTGTGGAATCAGTATATTGCTGTATTTGAAAAGGAGATGCCTGAGATTTGCACCTGACTTCCAGCAAATAGTAGATGGGAGGGTTTCCAGGGAAGAGCACATCAAGTGATTTGAATCATTATAGTGTTTGATTTTAAATGAATGATAAAAATTTCTGAATTTATTATAAATATGAAATCAAACCATATAAAATAATGGCATGAAAAATATTAAAAGGAGAGAGGTTGAGGTTCAAAAAGTTGTAAGAAAGATATGGAAATAACATTAAAATGAAAAATTAAGGATGAATATCAGGAAGAAAAATCCAAAGGTGCTCCTAATCAATAGCTCTGATTTGAGTGGAGGAGGAGCTGCTGAATTCCAGGCACTGCTAAAATCTGGTGTAAAAGGAGACTGGTGCCAGGTGAGCTTGATTTATTTGAAATCTACACATTTAGACTCTCATGGGAATAAGCTTGGATACTAAGACTTTTTGAAGGTATTTCCCACAACTTCTTCTCTATGCAAAGAAATATTAGCTTAACAGCTGAACCAGGAATGATCCATCAGTGGCTCTCTAACAAGGCAGGTGCAGTTGCCATGCTGGGTCTGTGTCAGCTGGGTAACACGGGACAGTACAGAGGCTGCCGTCTTCTGGCATGAAGGTGTCACACAAGGATCTCGCTGCCCAGGCCTGTTCCAGAGCAGGGACAGACTGCTGCCGCCTGCCTGCCTGCTGCTTTAAGAACCCCTCCTCCTACAGCTCTTGACACTATGGAAATTTCAATGTTGAGGTTCAAAAGCCAGAAAAGGTGGCCACCCCAAACTAAAATCACATCCTAATTACACTGGTTAACAAAACTCTATTAAATTTGATTGCACTTTTCTATGTTTTTAAAAAGTACAAACCCTTTGCTGGCAGGGGGAACTAATGGAGTGTAAAGCCATATGCTATTCAAAACGCTTTATACATTTCCTTGTTTTCCGTTAGGTCTGCCAGCTCCCAATTCCAAGCTAAGTAGGGCTCCCTTCCCTTACCATCATCAGCTTGCTCAACTGCTGAATCTAAAAATAGAAACACCTCTTGCACATAAGTTCCAAGGTTGTATAATGGAGATCCAGTCTCTGAAATATGTTAGAGCAATAGTAGTTTGCACATAATCTCGGCAACTGCCAAGCAAGCAAAATAGACATATAGTCTCTTTGCTTCTAACAATGTATATCTTATTCAGAACTCCCAGCCAGCAAAAAAACTGCTGCTCCTTCTTGCAGCAGACAGCACATGAAGTAGATGTGGCAGCAGAACAGCGACTGATGTAAGGTTTTGGGAAAAACATCAGCACAGATCAGGATTTCATTTTCTTTCCAGCTGGTACTGCCACAAGTACGGCATTCACACTAAGCAGGTATGTTATGGATGATGTAAATGTTGGTCATGTTGGTCATTATTGTTTTTGAAACCTGACCATTAGTTTCCATCCCATTCTTTTCTTATAATGAATTCTGGTGCATGAACATGTTCTGAACCTTCTTTTTTTTTTTCTGGGAGTAAATATCTACCATCTTTAAACAAAAAGATACCCAAGTCACAGCCCTGTGGAATGCTTTACAGCACTGCTTTTGTGGTGCTTTTCTGCTACTTCCCACAGTGGGGTGGCATAAGTAGCTCAAGGCAAACAATTTCTGGGAGGTAAAAATAAGTGCAGCAAGAACAAGACAGCAACATAGGCTGTCTTCAAATTCAGCTTTACTTAATTGTATAACTTTGGATTAAAGGTGCAATGACTTTCAAGTAAAGGGGAAATTCCCTTCTGTGACTGCTGCACCTGAACCATCATGGAGAATCTGTATATTGACGTTAGGGGCAGATCAATTCATGTGTGACTAGCTTTTTGGGGGAAACTGTCAGTGTAACCAATCTTTCTGAATCTACTGATCTGGATTCAGAACATTCACTGTGCTCACCTGTGGAGATTTTTTAGACAGCACTCCCTTATCATAAAGAAATGTTTTGCAACCAGAGTATTTGTGTTGTTGCAGGAAAAACACATCAGACTAATCCTTTAAGGTCTCTGAAAAATATGAAAACTGGATATAGCACATGATGAAAACTAAAGTGTTCTCAATACCTCTTGGGTACTATAAATTTGCCTGGGTGAATTTTTCATGGAAATTCAACTGTTTGTTGGGATGTAGCTTAGATGTTTGCATTCTCAAGCATATCTCTCTCCTAGCTGTTGTGCACCAAGATTCAATTCTCTGCAAGAGACTGTTTAAGTGAAATTTGACACAAACTTCTTCAATACATATTTAGAGCTGACTAAAGAAAAAAATTGTTTTCTCCTCCTTAAACGTGTTTTTGGGTCTAAATGCAAGCCCAAATTGCAGCTAACTTTTTTTCTCTCCCCTCCCAAGTCGGCAATAAAAGAGTGAGCTACAGAAAAAGAGCACATGTACTTGATTAAAAACCAAACAAACTAGACAATAAAGACTGTAACACATCTTCACTACTTTTTAAGAGATACAACATAGATTCACTTACACGGTTTAAGCAAGTTGGATAAATAATTGGAAAAACCTGCAAGATGTGAAAACCATCCAGGCCTTGCAGATCCTGAAGCTTTTGACAGTCCCATATCTGGGTAAGTTGCTACTTTAGTATGCACAATTATTTTCAACATTATTAGCTTTGTTAGTGTGATCTGCTTTATACTTACATTTCCAGGACCATAACGATGTTGGCTTTTTCTTCAAAGGCATCTACGCATTGGACAAGTTTTGGATGATGTAGACAGTTCATGATGCTGATTTCTTCCCTTATGTTTTCTTTTTCCTTAGCAGAATATGCTTTGAAAAATTTTCCTGCCCAAACTTTTCCAGTCTTCTTTTCAACAAGCCTAAAGACTTGTCCAAATTTCCCCCTGAAAATATATAACTATTTCCATAAAATGTTGTTGCAATGCATGGGCCACCATGAATAGCAACATTTTATGAAATATTCCAGCACAACCACTCCCTTCTGAAATAAAAATGCCTTTATATCAAGTACTGTTCTGTACTGATTTTGTGCAGAGTAATCTGCAAGAACTTTTGAATGAATACCACATTTAGAGATACCCCGCTATTCCAATTAGCAAGTTTTGTATAAGAGGGTTCAAAAAATGGTCTCCTACCAGGCTTTAATTGGTGTGACTCAAGACTTTCTGCACAGTTTTCTATCAGTATCTGAAGGGGCAGCAGATAGGGGATATCTCAGGTATAGGATATAGGTGAGATCAGAATCTGAATGCTAGAGGCTTCAGTACTATTATTTCTCATCATTGTATATGTACAATTGTACCTCTACAATACACTTATCAAAATTTATTAATGGCACCATACAAGATCCCCTGGCCTTCAGCACCACCAGCAGCACAAATCACTGAAAGATTATCATGGCATGCAATTCACATAACCACGGGTTTGAGCACTGAGAAACACAGCCAGGCTAATCGCTGACCTTCACGGAGCAATACTATTAATGCTCTTGGGACTGTGACTGTCAACAGAGATTCTAGCCCGTGGGCAGGATAATCTTATTACCCCTAATGGATATAATGGAAATGCAAGTACACAATGTGTACCTTTTTTTCAGCTAGCTTTTAGAACACTGAACAATGAATGAGTCGTCTAGCTTTATTCATTTGTGGGCTCCATTTTCCTTGCCAGAAATGCATGTAGTGCCTATTTAAAATTATCAATTAATAGAAATAAAGGATCTTTATGGAGTGGAGGCCAACATATGTTAAAATCTATTTTTACTGCAACCGAGGAGCCCAGCTGGAATGCTGAAAGTGCGAGACACCGCCAAAGAATGAATGCACATGATCTTTATAATTGACTGGTAGCCTTGAAAACTCTGTGTCTTCAAAAGCACAATATAGTACTTACGATCCCAGTCTTTCTTCAATATTATAGACATCTGAAACTTTTTGTTCAGTGTTGATAGTAACCGTCCGATAGTTGACCTCTGTTTCTTTCCCTTCTACAAATAAGTATTAAGGACCATGATTAAAACCTCCATGAAACACGAATGAAAAACACAGATTTGCATTTGTCCTGATTAAAGTATGAACTTCTTACCATCATCAGATAGCTCCACTTCATCCTCTTTAAGTTCTATAATGAAAATAAAAAGACATGAATAACTTTTTATATAAGATACGGTACTTACATAAGATAGTCAAATTATTCACAGTAACATGGGCAACTGGTAGGCCCTCTGGCTAAGCAGCAAAAAGCAGTCAGGGAATTTGTGCACTCATTTCATAATTAAAATCTCTTCACCACTTCTTACTGACTATTGACTACACAACCACAATCTGGTCACCATTTCTTAAGAAATCAAGTTCATGTGTTTTGCAGTACTTGTCTATTATACATGCCTACTAGAAACATCAGCATACTGAATCAGTTCAAAGTCATCTAATAAATAGCTTTAGGAATGCCTTAGTGAGATAGAAAATAAAGTAAAAATACTAAAATCCATAACAACACTTCTGGTTCAATGACAAATCCTTTTCTGGCTTTTCTATGCATTTTTTGGATTGCAAAGCCAAAAGTAAAGCAAGTTTGTAGTTTAAAAGATTTCCTGCAGAGCATCCAGACAAATTTTTCAGACTCAAGGTGACTAGAAAATTTGGACAGCATGCACTTTCCTGAGCATGGCTGAATTTTGAAATCATTGAGGTTCAAATGGAGCCTCAGTTCTGCAGGCATACTCAAAGGCAGGCGGAGATGTTGGCAAGCCCAGACATAAGACAGAGTAAAAGCTGGCCTGAGTGTCTTGATTTTAATTTTTAATTTTCGTGTGCATGAGCTGTCAGTAGCACCTATTTGTGTGTAGTTTCCTACGTTGCCTGCAGGTATGAAGGGAAAGGGATTGTAGCTGGAATGTTGTTATATATTACTTGCACTGCTTGGGCTTGCTCTTAAGACCCATGGCTATGACCAGTAATTTGAGGAACTGCAAAGGCAGTTGTAAAGTGACCTGTACAATTCTTCTTTTAGCTGCTGAAGCTGCACCTTGCCATTGTAGAATGCAAGCCTAATCAAGTAATTTATCCCCACTGTGTCAAGAGATTTATGTTATGAAACATTAATGTGGTACTCTGGACACTGTTAGGTGCTTTAGAGTATACAATTATATACAGCAGATGAGAAGAAAACAACAGAAAAAAAAGGGTGCAGCGTGAGCAGATAGCTGATCTGATGCGTAGGCATCACCTTTTCACATCCAAGACATAATGCTGCATCTGTGTTCTGGTAGCAAAGCCAATCAAGTAGATATAATCTGTTACTAAAGCCCTTCTCTCTCTTTTCTGGATTTGCAACCCTTGTATGTCCCAGCACAGACTAGCTGGTTTGCAGCGATTTACTGGAAGAGCAGGGAGGGAAGCGAGCCTTCCCCACTCAGGGGTAGCTGTCCTCAGAGCGTCCTCAGCTAGAAACCACACTTGCATAGCGCCCATTGCATTTTCCTCCCCTTTTAAGGGCTGCATAAGGGAGCTGATCCCAACCACGCTGCCAGTAGTTAATGTCTGCCAAATACTGATTAGAAAGTCAGTTCCCAGTTTTGCAGCAACACTATATTGAAGTCATGTACTAGAAACATTTTGGTCTACCAGTGGAAGCCTAAATTAGATAAGCAGAACATATCTGAGCTTGGTAAGTGCTGAGTAGCTGTGCTAAAACCTTTCTCAGAAGTGAGCCAATGATACCAAAATTTCCTCAAATTTGCCTACTTTAATCTGGTGTGACTTACAACCTTATTTTAGTAGTTGTTTTCTTTGAATGCACAGTGAAAAGTTACCCATGCCTTTCTTCACTATGATTATATTGAGACTGCTACTATGCACTGGCCACCTCAGTATGAAAATCAGTAATTTGTCTTTCTGGCAGCAATGGAAAATCCCGAGTTACTCAGCTAAGTGTTTACATAGGTGGCAGCTTAAAGTCCTGACTTTGAAAGGTGCTGAACACGTGCATTTTCCTGTGTCTTTAATTAAAGCACCAGTTATACTCACACACTTGAAAAACTATGTTTTATTTGACTTGCCCTTTCTCCATGCTAGCTGCAGTATCAAGAATAGAAATCAAGAAGCCCTGGCATTGAGAAAACGAAGACAGCCCATCCGCCTGCAAACAAAATACATTTTCTTTTCACTCAAAACAACTTTTTTTCTTGGTTTTTATATGTATCACAATGTTTCATATACTTTCTAGCCTTTTGTATTAAATCTATGTAAGAAAACTATGTCTTAAAAAGGAAAATAGCTTGTTTTCTTTGGTCCAGTACAAGTAGAGCTTGCTCTAGGAAAACAAATGTAGCTGAGTCAGGTCTCCAACTCTAGGTGTTTGTCCTGCAACTAAAGAAAGAGGGCATTCAAACACAGGGAATTTTATTATGAAGAGCCAATACCATCTAGCTTCCTTTCAATTTTGTTGCTACTTTTAATGTTATTTTCCCCTCTCTGAAGAGAAGCTGCATCTTGATTTAGATGAGATTTTAAATCTTTAAAATAGAGGAAAGTAATTTCTCAGAATACATCCAATTTAGCACTTGAAGAGAAATATGATTTACTTTTGTTTGGAAATGTCTGTTGAGAGGCTTACACAGTTGTGTGATGCTGCACCACTTTGCTACCATTTTGTCTTGCTGTGGCAATAAAAGATAACATCACAAGGATTATGTTAGACACTTAAAACTCTAAAGCCCTGCATACATAAGAAAGGAGGGAGAGACACAACACACAGTCCATTCTTCAAAGTCAGGACAAATGGCAAAAACCATTATTCCTGGTCTGGGCTTTTTGGTGTGGTATGACTATCAAAGTGATCCTTGTATCCTTGTACAGTACGGAGATGTGGTACCGCACAAAAATATGGATTCAATGTCTGTTTTTAAAAACTAATACTGATCTTTGTGTGTGTTTAAAATTTTGGTACCAATTTCTGAATAATTTCTAAAATGCTCCAGCTCTTCCCATTAGTCCTTTGACAAGATCTTAAGCAAAAAATAAGAGGCAAAGGATACTGAAAAATATTTTTACTAGTACGTGCAACTGTAATCAAAAAAAACCTAAAAATATTTTTAGCACCTATAATGCTACAAAATCAACATGCTAAGTAGGATAGCCTTGAATTCACAGGATTGGTGCACTAGGGGGAACAGGACTGAGGTGCTCTACCGTACTGGGATTTGAAGCTTGGGAACTACAGCTAGGTATGAGAGGCTAATTCAGTTTCTGCTGCATATTCAGTGCTCAGCTAGCAGAAAGTACATTTACTTTTTCCAAAAGCAAGTTTGGGACAGTGTTTGTGGCTTGTTTTTCCATGGTGTGTCCAGTATAAACTGTGATGTATCCATCAGTATGTTTCAGGTAAGCCACCAAACATCCTTTTCCAACTAGGCACGGTCTGAACACATAATTTATGTGTGAAAGGTTTCATCTCCCTTTACCTGTGCACTGAACTGCAGAAGTCTGTCACCCAGCACTCACACAGCAAGCCAGAAGTCAAATTATTGGTTGCTTTCACAAGGCAGGGTTTTGGGATCCCTTAAGCCGAGTTTCAACACTGGATGATGCATGCAAAACTTATATGCTCAGACACCACATACAGCCACATTTCAGCACACATACAGCCAGCATAAGCCTGCATTGCACAGAGGCAGATGCGAAGGAGTGTGTACAGCTGCCTGATCTCACTGGGGAACTGTTAAGACAGAGTTTAACTGAATTTAGATTACTTTTTTTTCTCTTAAAAACTAACCTTCTTGTTTCTCTCCAACTTTCACCAGCTCGGATTCTTGGCTGGGCTCACTGATGCCATACACGTTAGCAGCTCGCACACGGAATTTGTACTCTCGGTCAGCCTGCAGGTCCTGCACATTGAAAGAGGTGCTGCGGCAGGTAGTGAGATCTGTCCATTTGCTATCCACTGAATTCCAGATCTCCACTGTGTAGGACTGCACTGCGCTTCCACCATCGTAAGAGGAGCCATACCATGAGAGAGTGAGGGAGGAACTCCGTATGTCCGATGCACAAGGTGTTCCGGCAGGTGGGTCTGGTTTATCTGCAAAAACATATGCAAAGCACATTAGATGAAATCATGAGGGAAGAGGGAAGACTTCTATTAGGGTATTACTGGCCCTAGCTAACAGCCTTTTTCTTTCCATGTCATTGCTCTGCTTCAGAGGTTCGTACTACAGAGGTTTGCACAGACATACCTGAATTAGCTAACAGTTGCACACGGGCCTCAGCATGGCTTGTTCAGTTCCCTGGGCATCTTGCTAAGCCATGCTGAAGCCTAATGCCCTTCACAGCCATCATTACAGAAACTATGGAGACTAAAACCAGTCACAGCTATGCCTGCAAGTACTGAAATCAAATCTCCCGCAATAGTGCAAACCACTCCTTGGTGAACTTCCTTAGAGGTTCACCCCTCTAACAGTCACTGTAGCCGTGATGCTCTTTCTCCAGTTCCCTTCATCTGCTTCCATACTTCAGGGCCACTACTAACCTTTCACAGCCTCAGAATGTGCCACTCATCCAACTATATCTGGGTAGCAGAGATATTAAAACCAGTTTGTTGGCACAGATCTTGAAGGGTGACAACTTTGTCTGCTAACAATTTAGTGAACAACTTGTGCAGTTTTTGGAAGCCTAGTGCACTTTTTGGTAAAAAGGAATTCAACTTAGAATATATCATTAAATTTTGAGATTTTTTTAATTTCATGTGCATTTTGGAAATTGTTGGGAAGGTGGACGATAGAAGATTCTAACTGTTTTTCCTCAGTTTGAGGTTTGCTTCTGCAGTCCTTCTTTGCATGAATAGATCTGATATCACCAGAACCTGGTGTGCAGATGAGCGGCCGACTACGCAAACATAAGATACAATACAAAAACCTTGCAGTTATATGACTTTTTCAAAATGAAATTGAATGATTACCTAGTTATTAAAATTAATGTTTTCCTAAGACAGAAAAATGTTGCCTTTTAAAAAAATTACTGATTAAGAAAATAATTACAGAAGTTAAGCACTTCAAAAGACTTTAAAGGGAACAAATATCTACTTTGGGAATAATCCTCTCAGAAGTAATCTAGCAAAACCTACAAAATAATGATGATGTTGATCTGGATGAACTAGTGGCCAAAGGTTGAATGAGAAATCAAAGGATGGGATAAAATGATAGAAGATGAAAAGAAAAAGACAGAAAGTGTGAGATGCTACAAACGGTGGTTACACTGGGCATGGACTCATAAAATCCTGTCCCATTTTGCTGGTTAAAACTGCTAATGGACGTTATCACTTTCTCCTTAAGAAAGGCAGAACTGGCAAACCAGCCAAAAAATACAGCCACTTTCTCAGCAATGAAAACATCCACATGCTGGGGAAAACTGCCATGGACTTTCATATCTGTTATCCCTCCATACTCAAATCATCATTCCTAGGAAAATCACTGAGCCACAGATTGCTACAAACATGCCTTCAGTTCTTGGACAGAGGGATCTCTCCTCTGACTGCTGTGGTTTTACTCATGGAGAGGGGAAATGGGGTAGTCTAATCTGATCATGACAGTTAAATATCAGTTCACTATTTGGAAGAGTGGAAGTTCCGTTGACCAATGATTCCCCTGAAGAAACTTTAGTAATTCCTTTTAGTTCAATTGTGACGGAAAATTCATCTCCCTCCACAACTTAAACATACTAGAAGATACATAAATAGAATTTGTTAAGTATGAGAGACATGACTGGGAGGGAGGAAGGGAGATGGATACCAAGGGTTTGCCACTGCATTCAGCATGAGAATGCCCAGGCAGAAGAAAAAGAGACTGCCAGAACGTAGGTTATCTTTATTCATTTTGGCAACACTTAAAACCCCATTCCACTAGGAGTCATCATTATACAGTACATCTCTCGTTAAACACAAATATCAGAGACCAGATGTCCTTAACCTCTGGAATGGCATATTGCCCTGCTTAGTAGTCACATTTTACTCACCTCATTTTCTGTCAGAATAAAAGGGACTATTAACAAGCATGAATTTATAGTGTAGATATCATGAACTGAATGATGGAGAGGTTAAATGATTTTTCCAAGATTAGAAAGAGAGATTGTAGCAAAAATGAGAATGGAATCTTGATCTCCTGGTGCCCGAACAGCAGCACCCCTCTTCCCTGTACTAGTCCTGCCCCAACCTCCTTGGAACTGCAAGAAGTGAGAATTCAATGCTCACACCATTCACAAGATCAGAACTCTTGTACAATACCACAGCAGCCACCAGAGAGGTGGTTGCACGGCACACGTGGGTTGTATGATTTTAGTCAAACAGCAGCGATAGCCATCTTTTTTTCACTACAACTTATTATCCCTGAAGACCTTTTGGGGAATGGTGCTACCTCTGTCCTCTTCAAAATCTGTCCAGAAGAAGAATATTCAGCTCTGTGTCTTGTTTTCCTCTTATATACTCATCTTTGCATCATCTCAAGATGCAGATAGAAGAACTTGGATAAGTAGCAGCTGACTTATCCTAAATCCAAACAGAACAGAGCAGTTGCTGATAGCAAGAGGAAAATACTTTGAAGAAAAAGCTAAGCCTCTATCACCTTACAGAGGCATCTGTTCAGGTTTGTCAAAGTAGTGCGGATTCTCTAACATCTGCTATGCACACAGCTAAATCTGGACAGTATGTGTTTGTTTAAAAAAAAAAAAAAGAAAGTGTTAGCTTGCTGTAATGCTCTGCACTGAATTTTACATTGAAGGAGGAAAGAATGCCTATGCTTCAGTCGTTGCAGAGCACAGTAGCCTGCTTCCTATGCTGGACATGAAAATACAGTCTCTCTTTGCTGACTTTCAACACACTTCTGTTTCCAAATGAAACTCTGAGCATGATTTATCAGTTGCCTAGGCCACAGTTACCTTAGTGACCTCTCTTTCCATGACTCACCTAGATAACTGCAATCCATTTGGCCAGCACAGTTTACAGAAGCAATGCTTAGGGTATGTGAGCACTGGACAGAAAACGTTCATGGCCAAGGGGACATCAGCAGTAAAGAAAACGCTACATGACTTTAGTCTAATATCTGACAGCCTTAGCAATATTTCTACTTTCCTAATCAGTTTTTCTCGGTAGGCAAAGATGGCTGGACTCTCTTAAGCCAGAAAGACGCACGTTTTTGTTTGAAGTCTATCATGTGCCATCACTTGCAGATCTGCTCAATGTATAAATACTGGAGTAGTAGCTGCTATGGGAGATCGTAAACAAGAATGACAGCCTAATCTTTGCTCTTTCTTAATATGACAGATGTTTATGTACCATTTTAGCATGCTTAAAAATTATTTGATATCAGACTGGATGGTATTCTACAGCTCTGCATATTCAGAGAATTTGCAGATGGTCTCTCCATGTGCCTGTTTTGTTTCTCAACAGTTTATTCTATGGGGATTTTAAAGGTTATCCTTTATTCATCTGTCTGTATTGAAAGCTAGGATATTCTGCCAAACTACATTCCCTTCTGGAATATGAAATCTCTATCAGCACAATTAACTGCTTCCAATAAAACATCCAGCGGGTTGAGGAGGGGTGTGGAAGAAAAGCACAATTCTCTATTTTCTACTTCTGTTTTAGTGTTTAGTATACCATTAATGTCTTTGAGCTTCCCATCTTCAATATTTCATTTGCATGTCACATGCAGCCATTTACACACACAAATATACTTCATACTTAGGCTTATATTATGAGGGCTTTATATAGGCTTCAATGGACCACAGTTTTGTTCTTCCTGTTCTGGACCAAACCACAGCCGCAAGCCAACATGTGAACCAGAAGGAAGGGAGTGCATCCAAAAATACACTGCTCCTTGTGAACATTTCTGTAGGGGAAGCAATTAATTTAAAATATCAAGCTCTAACTTCAGTTTCATTATTATATGCCACAAAAGAAAAGATGTATATAGTCTCCACCAAAAGCTGTCTTGACTATATGAAACCTGGGGTACTCCAGTCTTGGCTAACTTACAGCATGCGTATAACACCAAAATCGAGACTTAGCTATGCTTTATGATATTCTAGGTTGTCATGGTCCAATTGGCTGTATCCACACAGTCCTGTTGAACTTGGTCAGAACCCTACAAACGCCACTGCCTTTGTAGCAGATAGCACTTGCATCTCTTTTACTAGGGTACATGATCACCTGATTTGCCTAATACTATGGCTGCAGAGATAGGTGGAGTTGGGACAGTTAAATGCTAAGGGGAACTCAAGCGCAAAGCTCCCTATGTAATCTCTTTAGGAATATCAATAGGGCTACCCTGAGCTGGCTCCCAAAGCCTAGTGGCAGGCAAAGGAGATGCACAAGCAGCTAATTTGGCCTCCAGCCTGCCTCAGGGACTGTTCTGCACAGCAGCACAGAGACTGTGTAAAGTCACTGACACTAGTGGCACAGGGAGAACAGCAGTAGCAACTCATATGTGCTATACGCATTGTGTAGCGGAGTAAGAGGGGAGTGGAGGTGATCTAAAGGAGGGCTCTACTGCTTTCCTCCCTTTGTGCTCCAGCAGAATAGGCACAGATTACAAAAAAAAACCTACTTCCCAACAAAGGGAGACATAAATTACTACTATGCCAGAGCAAGGAGGTCAGATTCCATTTTATTCTTTGTGGCACGCGTTCCTTAGGGCAGATGGTAAGGTCACGAGCTGGCCTCTCATGAAATGTATAAGCCACATTTAAGACCGTACCAGGATTCAAACACACCATTCTTATTTACTCCCAAATTGAATTCAGCTGCACTCCTTCCTCAGACATATTCTCAGAAATATTTTGGTAAACAGGCTTTGATACACAGCCTGGAGTAACCTTTAATTAATTTCTATTTGTACACTCTGAGAAGCACAAAGCATAACGCTCAGCCTTTAAATCATTGCTGTTTACGAGACAAATTTGACTTGAGGTCTTTGCCTTTTTTTTCAGTGGTGTGTAACCCAAAATTCCTCCTGATAAGGAAAGGGACTTTCTCTCTTTCTGCATAGGTGGTGAACCCACAGCTCACAGAGGACACCCACACAACATGAA